ACCAATTAATATTTCTCTTACTTCTTATTATTCTTTGACAAATTTATTTTGCAATTACAAAAAAAAATATTAACTATTTAACAAAACTTTTTCTATCAAAAAAGAATAAAAAGAAGAAATAATTTTTCCCAACAATTTTCCTTGAATACAATTCATTTTTCTCCCACTTTTTCTTTATTTTCAATAAATTTATTGAGAATTTATTTTTCATTTAGAAAAAATTTAATTTTCCTGTAATAAAATTTTTAACTTCAAAAAAAGAATAAAAGGAAGAAATAATTTTTTTTAATGTCTCCTACTTTCGTTTTCTTCTACTTTTTATTTTTCTTCAACAAATTTATTTCGCATTTACAAAAAAAATTAATTAATTAACAAAATTTTTTGTCGCAAAAAAAAAAATGAAGAAAAGAGAAAGAAATTATTTTCTTCGAAAAATTTTCTTTAATACCATTAAATTTTTTTCATATTTTCTTTAATTATTAATTATTAATTCCAATATTAATTAATATTAGTAACTAAAATTTAATTTGAAATAATTAATTAACAAATTAAATCTACTATTAATATTCTTAACATTAATATTTCTAATGTTAATATTTCTTCTACTTTTTATCTTGCTTTAAAAAATTCATTTTGCATTTACAAAAAAACAAACTTCCCATTAAACAAATAAATTAAATTTTCGTTTAAATTCAAGTTTCTTTCGGTTTTGATCAAAATTTCTACAACGAAATTAAATCAGTAAAGAAATAGGTTTCGTTCAATACGAAAAAATTTCATTAAATCAGAAAAAAACTTTGTTTTGTTCAATACAAAAAATTTGAATTTGGGAAAAATATTACGAAAAATTTGAGTTAGTTTGGGAAAAAAATATCGTTTTGTTTATTACAAAAAATTTTTTTTATAAAATCAAAATAAACATTGGTGTGTTTAATACGAAAAATTTAAATTAATTTATGGAAGAAAACATTGTTTTATATAATATGAAAAATTTGAATTAATTTCAAAAAACAATTTTCATTAATATTTTTTAAATATTTTTTTATTAATACGAAAAATTGAATATAAATCAGAAAAAAAAAATCTTTTTGTTTATTAAGAAAAATTGGAAATAAATTTAAAAAAAAACATTGTTTTGTTTAATACAAAGAATTTGAATTAATTTGATAAAAATATAATTTTCTTTAATACGGAAAATTTGAGTTAGTTTGGGAAAAAATATCGTTTTGTTTAATATACGAAAAATTGAAATGAAATCAGAGAAAGCATTGTTTATTTAATACGAAAACTTGTCAATTAGCTCCTCCACCACCAACACGGGGGCGACCGGATTACAACAGACCGGATTACAATTATAGACCAACTGGAGTTGTGATAAGACCAACTGTTCCCACACCTCCACCACGATCATCATCATGGTTCCCTCGATATCCCAGCAATTCCATTGGAAATGGCGGCAGTTGGTGGAGTCGTCACTTTGGTGGCGGTGGAGGTGCCACTACAAAAAGTCCCCAAATAATGCCAAAAGACAATAATTATTATTCCTCCGGCGGAAAGAATAATTACAACACTCACGTGTCAACCGATTCACGAGGCAACAAAACATGGAGATTTTCACGAAATCGTCGCAGTCTTGATCATCGTAAGAAGAACTGATTTTGTATGCGAAATGTTCTATTTTTTTATTTACTCGTTTTTCAAAATATCTGAGGGAAAACGTCTTTCAAAATATTCAGGGGAAAATATTGTATAATTAATTTGAGTAATTAATTAATTGTATGATTTTATTATATAGTACCTATATGATACTCATTATAACCCAGTGCCATTGTATATACGTGTAAGAAAAGTACTCAGTACTTAATTTTTTTTTATTTTTTAAAGGGAGGGGAATGGATAAATTGGTAGGGGTCATTTTTATAAACAGTTAATATACTGAAAACTGTGACAAAGAAATTTATACTTATTATACAAAATGCAAATTTTTTGTACATAATGACTTTTATACACAACACATTAAAAATTTTGTCGAAAAAATTTAAATATCCATATAATTAGTAGGTATAGAATTGCGAATTTTTTATAACAATGATTTATTGAAAATTGTGTCCTAAAAAAATGTATAATTAGCAGATTTGCAATTTTTTTGCAGAGATGATTTTTATACACGAATAATATTGAAAATTGTAACAAAAAAGAACGATTATTTAGCATAAAAAATATTTAGAACAAAAACAAATTATAATTTGCCAAAAATGATAATGATATTTAGAGCATAATAACAAATTTTTGCTAGTGATAGTTTTTATACACAAATAATATTGAAAATTGTGTCGAAAAATACATTATATTTAGTAAAATTGCAATTTTTTGTTGTATGAATTGAAAAAAATGTATGATAAATTTTAATATTGTGTAAATTGTCTAAATAAAAAGTTCATCTTGTAAATGAGAAATAATTTTCACTGAACATTAATAGGAAAAATTTGCATGTTAAAATTAAGAAAGGAATGCATGGAGCTTTAGTACACTAATACTGTTTAATATTCCCATTATTTAGAAGGTTTAAAATTTATTATTAAGAATTTATCAATTGTAATTACTCTCTAAATCTAAATTATGATATAAAGTCCTCCACTAATTGATATTAGTATAGTTTTTCACCAATTCTCAGTAAATTTTTACTATTTTTTCTATTTTTTTTAGAAAATAAATTTTTTTAATTAAAGTAGTAGTGAAAAATTACTAAAATTAGTAATAACTTTTACTAATTTAGATTGGTAGACAACTTTTCACTAATTTATATTTAGAGAGTATTTAAAATTATTTTCAGTACTTTAAAAACTAAAAAATGATTCTTCTGAAAGTAAATTGATTTTTCAATTTTTTAAGTTTTAATTTCCTTTTCACTAAAACTTTCGTGAAAAAAATAGAATTACCAAACAAAATATTAATATTTTACCAAACAAATAGTAAATATTCTTACTAATGTGAATTAGTAGCCCAATTTTTACTAATTCAGACTAACTCTAAAAATTAATTGTTGAAAATTGAGTCACTAATTTATAATAGTAAATTAGTTTCTTTTTCTAATTTTTAGTCATTTTTTACTAAAAATTAAGTAAAAAAATTACCATTTCTAAACAAAGTAGTAATAATATTTCGTTCTTTACTAAAAATAGTAGCTTACTAATATACTTAGTTCAGTACTATTATTATTAGTAGTGCAATGTTATTATTTTAATAATTTACTAAAAATTATGGTGAATATTTTTACTAATTTCAATTTGTAGCTCAATTCTCAATAATTAACAATGTAAATTTGCATTAATGAAAATTAATTAAGCTACTAATTAATTTTAGCAAGAATTTTTTTAGTCATTTTTAGTAATTTTTCAATAAAACTTTAGAAAAAAAATAACTATTAAAAAAGTACTAATAATATTTTGTAGCTTCGTACAAATAGTAGTTTATTCTCTAAATCTCAATTAGCTAAAAATTACTAAAATCTTGTTTGATTTTTTGCTTAGTAATTAGTAAAAAATAACTAATTATTCTCCCTAAATTTGAATTAGTAAAAATATTTACTTAATTAAATTAGTGACTGACTTTTTGCTTTTTAATTAGCAAAGTTTACTAATAAATTAGTAGAAATTACTATTTACTAGTAAAATTTACTAATTCAAAAGCAAAAAGTCAATCACTAATTCAAATTAGTAAACATTTTTACTAACTTAAATTTAGAGAGTTAGACGAAAATATTTAATTATTAAAAAGTAGTAGAATTTTACTGATTGAATTACTTACAAAAAATTTATCTTATTTTCACAATTTACTAAAAGTGAATTTAACTAATAATTAGTCATTATTTGCTATTTAAATTCTAAATATATTACAATTTGAACCAGTGACTGTTTTTTTACTTTTGAATTAATAATTTTTAATTAATTCACATTTAGATAGTACTAATATTATTTTTTATTACTATTAGTAGTTTACTAGCATAATAGTTTGTACAATTACTATTTTACTAATTTACTAAAAATTAGTGAATATTTTTACTCATATAAGTTAGTGACTTAATTTTTATTACTTCAGATTTAAAAAGCAGTTCTCTAAATTTGAATTAGTAAAAATGTTTACTAATTTTAATTAGTGATTGACTTTTGCTTTTTAATTAATAAAGTTTACTAATAAATTAGTAGAAATTACTATTTATTAGAAAATTTACTAATAAATTAATTGAAATTAATGTTTAGTACAAAAATATACTAATTAAAAATAAAAAAATCAGTCATTAATTTAAATTAGCAAACATTTGTACTATTAAAATCTACAGAGAGAGAGAATATATAAAAGTAATGCGTATTTTTAAAAAAGAAAAATTCAAAATGCTGCATTACAAAAAAATAAATTCCCAACTTTACAAAGCACCATGAGTAGATTTTATAAAATTAATCCCTCCATTAACCCAGCTAATTAAACGGATCACTTTCAGAAGAATCTGTTTTGCGATATCCAACACAATTTGATATTAAAAAAAAAATAAATAAAATAAAATACCAGCAAAATTTTACATTCACGACAGGTAAAAGTAATAAAAATTGTGTGAAAAACATATCCTCAAGGGCGATAAGAAAAAAATTAATCACATTTTCCTTCGGTTCAAAAAGAGGGCCATATAATAATAAATCAGTGAGGGCAAATCGTGCAAAAGAATCATCAATCATAAATTAAATTAACAAAAGCACAAAAACAGACACCTATACACATATTCACACATACACACAAAAAGGAAGTTGTCTTGCTTCATGGAATAACATCAATTCATCCTCGTTGGTGTCTCTTCTCGCCGCACACTCTATTATATGGACATCGTCACTTATTTCTTGAGCTTAAAAAACATACAGCATGATGGTTCGTAAAATGGGGTCTATATATATATATATAACATATGCGAATATATTTCAAAGACAAGTCGACGACAAATTTTTTTACAGAGAACAATTGGAACAATTCTGAGATGACATCATGGGAAGTTGACAACGATCTCGGCGTAGACATTCTCAAGGACAATACAATTGGTGAATATAACGATTTACGAAATGGCGGTTTCGCTGATTTTTACGGTCATTTCGTCAAAAAAAATTTACCAGAAGAGGAAACGAATTTCTTGTTCTCAACGAGAAGGAGACGTGATGTTGATGATTCCGCTAGACGACCATCTTCCGGTTATCCGGAAGAACCCAAAACGGGCTCTAGTTACCCATCCGAATATGGTTCTGCCAGCAAAGGTCTGGATTCCGGTTCCAGCAGAGCCAGTATGGGTTATCCATCGGGCGCTGGATACTCGAATCCAAATGCCGGCCAACGAACCTCAAGTTACCCTAGTTATCCCTCCTCCGGATATCTAGAAGAGACAATTAAAAAAACCGGAGCCAGTACTCTTAACGCCGGAAATCCGGATTCCGGTTCCAGCAGAGCCAGTATGGGTTATCCATCGGGCGCTGGATACTCGAATCCAAATGCCGGCCAACGAACCTCAAGTTACCCTAGTTATCCCTCCTCCGGACATCTTTCGGAAGAGACAATTAAAAAAACCGGAGCCAGTACTCTCAACGCCGGAAATCCGGATTCCGGTTCCAGCAGAGCCAGTATGGGTTATCCATCGGGCGCTGGATACTCGAATCCAAATGCCGGCCAACGAACCTCAAGTTACCCTGGTTATCCCTCCTCCGGATATCCTTCGGAAGAAACGGTGAGAAGAACCGGAGCAAGTACGGTAAACGCCGGTTATCCGGATTCTGGTCAAAGAAATCCGGGCTATCCCTCTTCTGGGAATACAAATCCCGGATATCCGAATTCGGGTAATCCTTATTCAGGTTATTCGAATAATCCAAACCAGGGTAGAAATCAATACCAAAATCCGTATTATAATCAGGGTCAGGGACAATATAATGGCCAACCGTATTCAAACAACTATCCTAATCAGTATCAAAATCCTAATCAGTACAACAATCCTAATCAGTATGGTAATCCGAATCAGGGTCGTTATCCTCAAAATTACCCATCACAGAGTTATCCGGGTAATGCTCCCGTCACTCCGAAGACCAGTATCGGCGACAGAATTCAAGAGTATGCGACAAATTTACTCAAGAAAGTTGTCATTCAAAAAGTTATAGACTCCGTTACGAAGAATAATAATTAGATATTTTTCGTTTAATTTTTATTTAAATTGTGTACTAACTGTAATCTATAAACATTCAGGGATTAGTTTTATTTCCCTTTTTAGTGCCTTTAAGTTATTTTATTTTTCAGGCCTCGGAATGACTTTCACAAACAAAAAAAATCGAATTAATCAAGTTAAAGTAGGAACAGAGTCTAAAATGGGAGATTATGCACCAAGTGCGAAAAGAAGACGTTTTCCGATGAGTTTGTAAGTGGCTGCTTGAGCGAAGCGAGAGCAGTAGCTTACAAACTCATCGGAAAACGTCTTCTTTTCGCACTTGGTACACATGATGCTTTTTGTAATACTTCTTTGAAAAAATAATTAATAAAAATAATTAATTAATTAATTAATTAATTACTAATGAGTAATAATAATTTTCTATATAGTATACAGGAAAGCAATAGAACTGTACAAAAAAGTACAGTTTTCTACACAGTATGCAGTAAAATAATTATAAAATTATTCGAAAAAATACATTTTGCAACACTAACCTGTAAAATTGAATTTTACATACAGAAAACTGTGTGTAAAGTAAGTGTGCAGAAAAGTATATTTTTTCACAGATTGCAGCAAAGTAATGAATAGAGTGAAAAAAAAATTGAAAAAATTACATTTCTAAAAAAATAATTGGGAAAAGTCTTACAAAACCGAGGCCTGCCTTTGCTTTCTAGAAAATTTTAATTTCTATTATAATAAAAATAGTTTCTATTATAAATTATAATAAAAATATTAATTTCAATTTGATAATGAAAATAATAATTCCTATTGCTGTAAAAATATTAATACTCAATTCAATAGGAGAAAAAAATCAAATACTTTATTATAGTGTCACAAAGAAAAAGATAAACAATTCCCACATTTGTTAAATAAAAATAATACTAATATTTAAATTTTCATATTTGTACTATTAGAATTTCTACATTATTTAAATGAAAATTAAAATGTAATATAGTTAAAATGAAATATTATCATAATTAAATTTAAATATTATACTTAAATTTAAATATTATTATATCGAAATTCAAATATTTTAATATTGAATATATCAAATTTAAATATAATTATATTTAAATTATCTTTAAATTTTCATATACAATTAACAGGTTAGTTAAATATTTCAGTACTAATATCGTCGAAAATGGAGTTTGCTCTATTTTACGGGTAAATAAAGCGATAAATTAAGTTTATATTCGCCAATAAAAAGCTTGCCCTTGTTAGTTGAGGGTAATATATACAAAATTATCACCACACCCTAGTGTTGAAAACTGTTGTATGCAATCAATAAAAAAAAAAATAATAATAATAATAATAATAATTTACTTTCATTAAAAAATTTTAATTTCAGTCCGATTAATGAATTTTAATTTTTAGGGTCCGGATGCAATAAGCAATTCCAAGTTGGAATACAGCGTTCATTTTACTGGTTCCTCTCTCTCTCTTTTTCTCTCTTTCATTTTCTCTCTCTCTTCAAGGTCACGAAATGGCACCCAATGAAAAAAGAGAGAAACCCATCTGGGACGTTCTCTACTCCAATAAAACCTCTCTCTCTCTCTCTCCTACTACTCTTTTCTCTACTCTCGTCTCTCCATTTCCATTTGACTTTCTTATTTAATTTCCTCAACCTTTTTGTAATTCAAATCCTATTCATGGTGTCTTTAATTAATCAATTCAAACATTTAGTTAATTAAATGTCTTTATTTGCGTATTATTATCGAAATAAAGGGAATTTGTTTATTTAAATATTTTAAAAAAGGAAGAAAATGAATATTTTCTTTGTCTCTCTTTTGGTAAATCTGAATTGAGTTAAAAATAACTAATTTTTAGTAAAATCGTGGCTGACTTTTTTCTTCGTCAATTCGTAAATTAGTAAAATAATTATAGTTACTCGAAGCACTTATCTGCCCTGGAAACAAATTTTTCGAAATAAATAAAAAAATCATTTTTAGTATGTAGAAAATAACTAATAAGTTGTAGAAAATAATTAATTATTAGTGGAAATTAATCAATAGTAGAAAATAATTAATTATTATCAGAAAGTAGTAAGTAAATTATTATTTAGAAAATAATTTATAATGAGTAGATATAATTAGTAATTAGTAGAAACAAACAAATTTTTATAATTAGAAAATAAGTAATAATTAGTAATAAGTAATAAGTAGAAAATAATAATTAGTACAAACTAACTAATTATTAGTCTCAAAATAACTAAGAAACTAGTCAAAAAAATTTTTTATACAGAATTAGTTATCACAAATTTTAGTTGTTTGTCATAAAATTTCAAAAATGTGAATTTAACTAATAATTAGTAATATTAACCTTATGAATAGTAGAAATATTAATATTTTAATTAGTTACTAATTTTTTATTGTCAATCAATTATTAAAATTAATATTTGAACCAGTTGCAAATTTTTTAATATCAATTAGTAATTCATTCAAATATTCATATTCCCACTAATCACATGGTTAATAGTAACTAATTATTAGTTAAATTCACATTTGTCGAATTTTATGACAAAAAATTAAAAGTTGCAATAACTAATTCTATATTAAAAGAAATTTTGACAAGTTTCTTAGTTATTTTCTGACTAATAATTAGTTAGTTTATACTAATTAGTTATTTACTACTAATAATTAGTTATTTACTACTAATAATTGGTTATTTTCTATCATAATTAGTTTTTTTTTTACTAATTATTAGTTATTTTCTACTCATAATTAGTTATTTTCGATAAATAAGTATTTATTTTTTAATAAATATTACTTATTTTCTAATTAAAAATTTGTTAGTTTCTACTAATTACGAGTTATTTTCTATTAGTTATTAATTATTTTCTAACTAATAGTTAGTTAATTTTTACTACTTATAATTTTCTGCTAATAATTAATTATTTTCTACCAATTATTTGTTATTTTCTTGTAAATTATTTTCTAGTGATAAATGTAAATTTCTATCAATAATGAGTGATTTTTTAAATTGTATCTCATTTAAATTTCGAGAGTTTAGTTGAATTAAATAAAAAATTAAAAGAATAACAAGAAAAGAAAAGAATAAAAAACAAAGGAATAGCAAAAAAGAATAGAAGAAAAAACAAAATAATAAGAAAAAAAGAAAATAATTAAAAGCAAATGAATAACAAAAAAGAAAAGAATAAAAAACAAAAGAATAAGAAAAAAAAGAATCAAAAACAAAAAAATAAGAAAAAAAGAGAACGTAAGGATCAAAAGAATGACATAAAAGAAGAAGCATATAAAAAATGGAATAAAATAAAAAAAGTACATTAAAATACTTTCCACCTTCTTTTCATTGGTGGAAAAAATATTTTCTTTGCACGAGTAAGGAAAATTTTTGAAATTAGCAGAGATTTTATAAAGGCGGATATCGAAACGTGAATGAATTCGATTGCTTGTTCGTGTCGTCTGAGCGGGAGAGAGAGAGAGAGAGAGAGAAATCCTGCCCGGATTTTACTGCCATCCTTATCCTTTTTTCTCTCTCTCATTCCATATAATCCATGGAAGTTCACTTCACTCTCCTTCTTTCCATCGACACTTCCTCTCTTTTACCTCGCGGTAGTTAGGAGTGCAATAAAGAAACGAACGGCGGGAGATTACTCGGCTATCGTCACTGACCATAAATTCAAACCTTCTATTTTCAGCTCTAGCCCATTCTGATCTTTAACAAAAGACCGATCGTAGAATGGAGACTAGCTTTTCGATTGGTTTCATCCACCAGGGCAGTAAAATTTAAATTTTTCCCTCACATTTTATTCACTCTACGTGTGTCTCTATATATGTATATTACTCTTGTTACGAAAAACAAGTGAAAGAATTATTTTTAACAAAAAAATTATATTTATTGTTCGGTATATTCTGCTCTTTGGAAATTTTAGCTTAAAATTTAATTTATTAACAGCTGAAGTGCAATTTTCAACCTTTTCAAACTCTACCTTTTTTAAAGAATTTTGTTTTTAGAATAAACGGAAAAATATGATTCAACTTATTTTCTTTTTTGGGGGCGAGAAAAATTTCGAATCTTGAAACTCAAGATAAATCAGAGAGTTTTCTAAGACAAAATGGGAAAAGTTTCCTTTTATGTTCTGGAAAGCAGATTTAACACAAGTAACCAACTGCTTCTAAAATCGTTTACTTCGGAGGTTGGCAATCTCATCTGGTGTCAACTAAATAGTTCGCACAACTGTAAAGGAACAAAAGGCGAAAAAACTATTCGAATTCTCGTCAATTTAAATAAATATTATTTAAATATTCACACAACTGTGCGAAGAAAAATTGAAATTTTCTGAAATTTAATAATACGTAAGTATAAAAAAAATAATATTTAAATTATTTAAAATTATTTAAAAAAAAAAGAAATTATTCTATCCTTTAGGATGTTGTTTAGCAACATCTCAGAAACAATTGATTTGATGAGTAGCTAATCACAATTATTGGAATTGGTAAAAAGTATGAAAAATTTAGATTATCAAAGATTTTAATTTGAAACCTTTACAAAATTCAATTATTTCTCAAAATTGCAATTATTAGTCACTTCTCTAAAATTCAACTATTAACTAAAACTTAAAGTAAAATTAATTTTTAAATCAATTTTTATTAGAAAATTCAATTATTTAAATCCAAACATAGATAATCTATTGAATAATTGAATGATTCTTAAAATTGAATTCTTATACATAATTTTATCAAACAAATTTTTAAATAATATTGAATTCTATTTGAAATATTTAAATAATTCCTGTGAAATTTTTATTTTCTTTGGAAAATAATTGAATGTAGAATATTATCAAAATTTTTGTTTAATAATTGAATTCTTTTGGGAAATTTTACTAAATTAGTAGAATATTGAAAATCATTGAGTTGAGAAAATTTTTTGAAAATAATTGAAATTTTACCATGAATTTTATTAAAATTTTTGAAAATAATTGAATTTTGCAATTGAAAAAATTGAGTTAAAATTGTTAAAAAAATACTTCATTAAATGATTTATAAGTAATAACTTTATGGCAGTTCTTCAATAGAATTAAGTTATTTAAAATAAATTATTGTCAGAAATAGAAAAAATTGATTTCTTTTTTTAGAATTCGTAATAATTTTTTAGTTTATGAGGCAAACAAAAAGACAAAAAAATTGAGAATTTCCTTATAAATTCTAAAAATTAAATGTTTTCCAGTACTTTTAATAAAAATCCCTAACTTTTCTCTGAATTCCCTTATTTCCCTGACCTGTGGCTACCCTGTAGATTATTAAAAAAATTTTGTTATAATTATAATTCCATAGATGAATTATAAAGAACAGTGCGAAGCAAAAAAAAAAAAAAAGGAATGAGAAAAAAACAACGCTTAAAAAAGATAAGTATAAAGTGGAAGATTTACTTTCTGTCCCTCATAAATTATAGGAATAGCCCAGGAAACCTTTTCCTATATCGAGTATTTTAGCGGTCAGTGAATTCAAGAGGCTCTTCTCGTTTCACTGCAGAATGGATTCTATACCGAACCATATATGCGGAAATCAAAATTTCTCCCAAGTAGTACATTCTGTCCAATTTCCACAATTTTCTTATTTTAGAGGCCAAAAAATAATTGGCCTACAATTCTCATTTTTGCAACCAATCAAAAAAAATTATAAATAAATAAATTTAAATAAATCCTCAATAATACAGTAAATTTAATTCAGTAAAAACTAAGTAAATAATAATTCAGTGAATTTAATTCTCAAAGTAAAAATGAAAGTGAAAGTGAAAATGAAAATGAAAATGATAAAAAAATGAAAATGAAAGTCGAAATGACATTACATAATAGTAGTATACAGTATAGATTTAATTAAGTAAATAAAAATCCAGTAAATTTATTAAACTTAATATAATAATTTATTTCGTAGAATCGAAAAAAATTTGATAAAAATTTTTCCAATAAAAAACTCAAGTACTTTTTCAACAAATTTTACAGCATATTTCAAAATTTTTTACACTCTCGTTTCTTTTTTACGATTTTTTTTAATGTTGTTGGGTATTTTTCAAGAGAAGTTCTAAAGTTATTTTTTTCCAAGCGAATATCATATAATTATGAGGAGGGTTAAAAAAAAGTTGTAGTTCAAAATATTCTCATTTCGCACCTTCTTACTGCTTTTAACACGTAATACTGGAAAAAGTCTGGGAAAAAATTCAAAGTCAACCCTTTAACCCCCCCCCCCTTCCTTTTAATGTGATTATAAGTTTCAAGCGAGTTTTCATCATCTCAGTTATAGTTTGGTAAAAGTTTTTTTTAAAGAGATTCTAAAAGCTTTAATAAAGATCTACTTTTCTGCTGATTAATTCTTGATATTGGATATATGTTATCGCAGAAAAGTAGTAATGTAATTTTTCCTCTAATGAAAAGAATTGAAAGCTCATGCTCAAGAAAGGTTATTAAAAAGTTTTTCTGTATAAAATTGAGTTTTTTTTTTTTTTTTTGAAATAGTATTCTTGTATCAAAAATGTACTTAAGAAATTGTTACAAATTTTCTTTTTCTTTCTTTTAAAGAAAAATAGTTTTTCTATAAGAAAAATTTTCCAATTTGAAGAAAAAGTAGAATGGAAATTTACTTTTTTAAATAATAATAATAATTGTGGAATAAATTTTCTTTCTTGAAAAGTAAAAAAAAATCGAAACGAGTTTAAAAAAAATTGTCAAGAATAACAGAAGAAAAATGACAAAACAAAAATTATTATTTACAATTATTTACATTCTATCTATTTTTTATATTTTCGGAAATAAATAAAAAATAAATTTATTTATTTAGATATTTAATAAAATTATTAATATTTATTGCTAAGTCAAAAAAAAAAAAATTAATATTATTTTTCGATATTTCTCGATTTTGAATATAAATTAATTTTTATAACACAAAAAATGAATATTACAAGTAAAAGTTAAAGATTATAGCAGGTATTTGTGTTTTCTTTCAGAAAAGAAAAAAAATATCAGAGGTTGAAGTTCCCTTTGGGAAAAGCCGATAACCCATAGACACATTTTGATAAGAAGCGTAAACGTTGAATAATTTACGTCGATTCATTTTTATTTTTCTCTAATTAAAATTTAACTTGTGAGCCAAATAAGAACAATTTTTTTTATAATCGCAAATTTCAGTTGCAAAAAAAATCTAAATAATTAAAAAAGTTGATAAGTAAAGAAATTTTTTATAAATATAAACTAAAATTATCCTTTTAATAAAAAAAGTATATAAAAACAATTTACTTTATTGATTTTCTTTCAACGAAATTAAGAAAATTTTTATTATAATTACAAATTTCAGTTTCGAAAAGAAAAAAATTCTAAGTAACTAAGAAAAGTAGATAAATGAACGAATTTTTAATAGCAAATAAACAATTTATTTTTTAATCTTTATAATGAAATTAGCAAAATTTTAATATAATTGCAAATTCCAGTTTTGAAAAGAAAAAAATTCGAAATAATTAAAAAAAAGTAGATAGGAAATTAAATAAATTTCAATAAATAAAAATAAATTTTTGAAAAAAAAAGTTTATAAATAATTTATTTTATTGATTTTTTATTAAAATTAGGACAATTTTATTAAAATTGTGAATTTCAGTTACGAAAAGAGAAAAAATTGTAAATAATTAAAATAAGTAGATAAATAAACGAATTTTAACAAACACAAATTAAAAATTATCCTCTATAAAAAAATGGCAAATAAACAATTTATTTTATTGATTTTTTACAACGAAGCCGATAAGCTAACTTTCTATCTTTTATTACCATGAAAAGATAATAGATAAATTTTACCATTTACCAACAGTGAACACAATTGGAAATTTGAATCAATGATAAATTATCATTTGAGAAACTTTATCATTAAATTCTCTTCACTGCATATTCGGTTGCCCTCTCTTAGGCGCTTAATTTAATAACAAGTTACAAAAAAATAATTTCTTCAAAAACATCTTTACATGTAAAATTAATTATTCTTACCCCCCAATTAATTTTCCAAAAAAAGCAAAAATAAAAATCGTAAAATTTATTCATAATTTTTTTCCCCTTTTAGAAAATTATATTTTTTCCACTTTTTTTCCGGAGAAAAAATTAATATTCTTATCTCAAGAAAAGAATATAAAAAAAATCTTTAAAAAATTTTTTTTTAACTGGAAAATTGAAAAAAGGTAAAATAATTTTAATAGAAGAAAAAAAATTAATAGTGAAACAAAAAATAAATGAAATAATAAGAAAAATGAAAAATTTGAAAAATCTAGTTCGGGAAAATGACATTAGGAACGCTGGGATCGAAAGAAAAGAGGAGCGAAATTTGATTTCATGGCACACGCAGCAGCTTTCACCAGCTTTAGTTAAGGTTCAGAAACGCGTAGTCGTTCCGCATCCGTCGTCGAAGGCGGATTCGACTCGTGTCCCTTAAAAAGAATACTTCCCCTCGAATAATTTTCGTCTCGTATCACCCGCTCGAAATAGACAAATTTTCTTTTCCCATCATTCATAAATAAATTTCCTCTTTAGAAAAAAAAATTTATTCATTTTTTCTCGAATTCACAAAAAAGGAATTAATAAAAAAAATCTCCCAATCTACTACATAAAAATAATATAATGAAAAATAGAATACAAATTTAAAAGGTGATAAAAAATCAAGTGAATTATTTTCTATAAAAAATTTTCTTCTTTTTCAAACAATCTATTTTTATTCGTTTTATTATTATTTTAGTTTTTTCTATTTATTATTTAATTTTTTCACGTTTTAAATTTTCGTATATTTTATTCTAAAATTATTTTTTAGTCTACTTATTATTTTTTTGTAACTAACTGTTTACTATATTTTACAACGTTTCTCGAAATGATTTATTTGTGCATGCTGTACAAAATTAAAAATGTGAAAAAAATTACCGCGAGTTAATAACAATTTCAGAAAAGTGTACTAAATGACTGAAATTATAGTTATTGACAATAAAATATTTTCGAAATTAATTTTTTATTGTAGTCAATTTTTATAAGTGTCATAGAAACTTTCGAAAGAATGATAAAAAAATGTATAAAAAGAATTAAAAAGAATTAAAATAAAAATTATTAAATCGAATTTGAGAAAATAAAAAATACATAAGGTAAAAAAATAAGGAAAAAAAAGAAAGAAGATTAAGAAAAAATAAATAACAACGATACAGTAAAAAAGATAAAAATCTATAAAGTGAAATATTAATTAACAGTAGTACATTTTTCGAAAATTAATTATAAATTTCAAATTGTTTATACGTTTCTCTATTTCGATTGTTATTTTATAGTTAGCACGTTATTTATTTAACACATAACAAGAATAATTCGTAAATTTTAATTTCCAAAAAAGACTTTGCCAAAATGTAAATTTCTCTCGTTCAGAATTTATATTACAAAACTGAATAGTGTAAGAACAATGAATGTCCATCAATGCTAATCAAGAAAGTCATTAACTCGAACTGAATATAATGAGGGGGGGTGAGAACATGGTAATTGAAAGCGATTATACATATGTATATTGTGAAGGGATGATACAGTAACATCAAGACAAATAATTAGCTGCTAAATTCAATAATGGTCTATAAATGAACAGCAAATCCCTTCAATTGTATTTTCCAATCACGATTTTTTGATTAAATAAATTTTTTTAAAATATTTTTTTTTCTAAATAACTTATTTATTTGTTTATTTACTTACATATACAAACATGTGATAAAATTTAGTTCATTTAATTTACTTTTAATTTACAAAAAAGGGCATTTTTAGGTCGTGTATACTATAAAAAAATTAATTTAATTTATTAAAAATATGTTTTTTTTCTTTGAAGAAAACTAATTTAGTTTTAATTTATTTCGAAGATTAATTAAAATTAATTTCATTTACTTTCAATTTACAGAAAATGAGAATTCTTAGTCAGTGTATTCTAAATAAATAAACGTAACAATGTAAATTTAATATTAAATATTTTTTCTTTGTAAAAAAACTAATTTAGTTAATTTATTTCAAAGTTTAATTTAAATTTAATTTGCTTTTAATTTACAAAAAAGATCATTCTCACAGAATAATTTTCTAAATTAAAAAACATTTTAGCGAAAAATTAAATAGAATTTAATAAAATTTCGTTTTCATTCAACTTTATGTATATAACAATCAAAAAATACTTTCTAAAGGCAGTAAAAATAATTTCCCCAAAAAAAATATGAATGTCATTTTATTTTTCAAGACACGGTCTTTTGGAAAGTTTTCAAGTGGAATTTAAAGGAACATAATTTTCTATCCAGTGACAAGGGCAAATTCTATGTAATGGAATATGGCTTTTGTAACAGATACTTAAAATCCTTTTATCTTGTTCAATTACCACTTTTTTAAAGTCTTAAAGACCTTTTTTTTGTAGGGAATAAAATTTTAACCTCCGCAATGTATTACAAAAATTTCTTTTCTAATTAATTACAATTCATTTTCTAAATAAGACGAGAATCACTTTATTTTCCGAAATTCAATCCTCCTGAAATTTGCTTTTAAATTTGATAACGTTGAAGCTTTAACAGGCTATAAATTTAACTTTTCAAAAAAAAAAAAAAATCCACTTTTCCATTGGCTTTAAAGAAAAATGTAACTTTCAATCAACACTCCGACTATTTTGTTACTATTTTCTTCTATACAAAGAAGCTTTTTTATTCCGCTTTTTTTAATTCGATTTTTTATTAATTGACTTTTTTAATTCCATTTTTTTCTATTTTATTAATTAAAATTTTTCATTCTTTTTAATTCAACTTTCTTAATTCACATTTTTTGTATTCATATTTACTACATTCACTTTTTTAATTTAATTTTTTAATTCGATTTTTATATTTCAATTTTATTAATTTAAATTTTTAACTTTTTTTTATTCATTTTTCATTAATTACATTTTTTTCATTTCAATTTTATTGATTAAATTTTTTTCAGTTTCCTTAAATTGAATTTTTTTAATTTTCATTTTTTAATTCACATTTTTTTACTTAATTTTTTTAATATTTTACTGTTTTAATTCAATTTTTTATTAATTCACATTTTTAATTCAAATTTTTCAATTTTTTATTCGATTTTTTTAATTCACTTTATTAGTATCATTTACTTTTTAACTCAATTTTTTCAATTTTCTTAATTCACATTTTTAATTCAATTTTTTTAGTCTTTTTAAATTCAATTTTCTTAATTCACATTTTCTTAATTAATTTCTTTATAATATTTCACTATTTTAATTCAATTTTTTTTTTAATTTTATTAACTCTATTTTTTCAATTTTTTCTAATTTTCTTAATTCACATTTTTTAAATTCATATTTTCTTAATTCACTTTTTTAATTCAATTTCATTAATTAACATTTTTTTAATTAAATCTTCCTAATTTACAATTTATTTAATTCGCATTTTTTTGAATTTACAGTTTATTTCATTCACTTTCTATAATTCAATTTTTTTAATTTAATTTTTTTGAATTTATTTCTTTTAATTCTCCGATTTTTGAATTTCTAATTTTTTATCTTCTTCTTGAATTTATAATTTTCCTGCAATTTATTTCTTTCAATAGATTTTTTTTAAAACCTGATAGGTATAAAATTTATATTCCACAAAAAAAGCATTTTTAAATCTTCTTTTCTCTAACATAAAAATTTAATTTCCAATCGAAAAAGAAAAAAGCAATAAGAACTTTTCTACGACAGTCTATCTTGAAAAATATGTTCTCATTAATTTCCCAACAAATTGTATTGCTTCATATTAAGGAAGAAAAAGACCGAGTCTCTCTCTAAGCCGGAAACACTGAAAGCGGATACAGTGTATATTATGTGACGAGAATTCATTACGATCCAGAAGAATCATAATCTGTAAGACGATGAAGAGTATCAAGAAGAAAAAAAAGTAAAGAACAATAGCACAATGTGATATCGAAAAATGACTTTTTCCCCCTTTTTTTAATGCAAAGTGTGTATATAATCGAGATTTTCCCAATAAGTCGCAATTATTAAAAAACCAAAGGCCTATTATAGAAAAATTTACAATATGCTCCCATTTTAAAAGTGAATTTCTCAACTCAATCTCTCTTTTTTTGTAAAAAAACATTTTACAAATATTATCCCCCAAGTAATGACGACAGTGCGAGACGATAATAACAACGACGACGACGATGATGATGCTCCAGAAAAAAAAGAATATACGTGCAATTTTACGCTCACAAATTTTTAAGTAAAAAATTTTTTTAAATCGTAAAATTAAAAGAAGAAAAAATCTTCTTTCACATCTAAAAGAGAAAGAGAGAAACGAAATTAAAATTAAGAAGATATTTAAAATTTATCGACTTGTTTTCCATTGCGTTTAAAATGGACGGCCTTTGGAATTCTTCGCATTCATCAAATACCGCGAATATCACGTCAGTCATTTGCAATTCAACAACCAATCGAGGGATCTGTGTTAAAGAAGAAGATTCGAGTTTCGATCGTGAATTGGTGGAGCAAATAGTCGCTATAGTGGTGCCCTTATTTTTTGGCCTAATTGGAGTATTGGGATTGGTGGGAAATTCATTGGTTGTACTTGTGGTTGCTGCCAATCCGGGAATGAGATCAACGACAAACATTTTAATAATCAATCTTGCAGTGGCCGATTTACTTTTTGTTTTATTTTGTGTACCATTCACGGCGACTGACTATGTTTTGCCATTTTGGCCATTTGGAAACATATGGTGTAAAGTGGTGCAATATCTAATTATCGTCACTGCCTGCGCCAGTGTCTACACTCTCGTTCTCATGAGTTTAGACAGGTGAGTTGTTTACTTTTTTTTTACTCTTTTCAATTATTTTCTTTCTTTTATTATACATACACCCAGAGAAAAATTTTATTTAAACATGTAAAGTTAATGTAATTAATTAATTAATTATTTAATTAATTATTCAATTATTTAATTAACTTAATTCATTTAAATATAATTTACATTATATTTTATTTATCTGTTGTTTTTAAAAATAAAAAAATCATTTTTTAAACATTTTGTTTTTATGAGTTCTGATGATCAGAATCAAGAGTTTCTAAAAATCCAATTCCTTGTTGTTCTCCTAATCTTTGCTGTAAATTCAAAAAAAAATTTCAACTAAATTGTTGGTCACAACAATAGCAAACTAAATCATTTGATTTACATGAGAACTCATAGAACTCTTAATTTTTAAAATTTTATTTCTTGCAATATTTAACGTAAGTAATTTTTTTAAATCTTGTGTTAAGAAAAAAATGTCATAATTATTTTTGGACTCTGCGTTAGAAATTTAAAAATTATTAACAGAACTCATAGTAATTCACCTAAAACTCATAGAACTGTTAATTTCGAAGTGATTCCTTTCCTTCTGATATTTAATTTAGAGAAAAGTATCATTAGAATTTTTCAAAGAACTTATTGTAATAAGATACGAAAACTTTTAATAGAACTTATAAAACTTTAATATGAACTCATGGAACTTTCATTACAACTCATAGATCTCTAAATTTATGAAAACTTAAAAACTCTTCTTTTTTCGCTTATTGAAATTATAACAATGTGACATTAGGATTATTTGAAGAACTCTTTGTACTAAAAAAGATACATCTCTTAAAGTACTTCATTTAATTATGAATAAAACTCATAGAAAAATGATAAATTTTCATTTTTACCATTTTTTAAGGATTTTCAATTTCTAGTAAATTATTTTTGGATTATTTAAAAATTCTTTGTAATAAGATGCAAAAACATTTATCTGGACTCATAGAACTTTAATGAGAACTCATGGAATTTGGAAAACTCAATGGAAAATGGAACTGTAAATTTTGAAAATTTCAAAGTGATGTCTCTTCTTCGGATAATTTTTAAATTTAGAGCAAAGTATCAGTTAAATTATTTTAAAAACTCTTTTTAATAAAATGCAAAAAAACTCTTATTGGAACTCATTCAATTATTAAGAAAACTCATAGAAACTTGAAAAAACTCACAGAATTTTAAGTAATAGATTTTATAAATTTGTTAATTTGAATATTCAGCATTTTTTTTTTTAATTTTAAGTAAATTATTTTTGGAATTTTACTTAAAACTCAAAGAACTCTAAATTTCGAAAATTTCTTAGAGCTGCATTTATTTCTAATATTTAATTATTTTTTTTTTTTATTTTTTTTTTTTTTTTTTAAAGTGTCAATAGAATTATTTCCAGAATTCTGTAATAAAATTTAAAAAAACTCTAATTGGAACTCATTGAATTATCAGAAAAACTCATAGAACCTTGATAGGAACTCATAGAATTTTAAGTGATAGAATTTTGAAGCCTCTAAATTTTAATGTGCAGCAGTTTTTTTTTATTTTTAATTGAAGCAAAACATTTTTTTGAAATATTTAAAAAATTCTTTGTAATAAAGACGCAAAAAACCTGTATTCGAACTCATAGAACTGTGATGGGAACTCCTGATAGTTTACTTTAAACTCATAGAACTCTAAATTTGAAAAATTTAAATGATCTTATTTTTCCGATATTTAATTTAGAACAAAGTATCATTAGAATTATTTAAAAAACTCTGAAAGAAAATGCAAAAAACTCATATTGGAACTCACTGAACAAAGAAAAAAACTCATAGAACCTTGATAAAAACTCATAGAATTTTGAATGCTGTAAATTTCAATGTGTAGCATTTTTCTTGAATGTTTAATTTAAGCAAAACATTTTTTTTATTATCTAAAAATATCTTTGCAATAAGACGAAAAAACCTTTGATAAACTTGACATAAATCTCATAGAACTAAATTTCAAACAATTTCCAAAATTTTCAATAGATCTCATAGAACTTAAATAAGAACTTATAGAATTTAAAATTTTTTTAAATTTCATAGAACAGCATTTCGGATTTTCAATTTAGTATAAATAAACTATCATTAGAATTATTTGAAGCACTTTTTCTAATTTGATGACTGAAATTTTTTTAATAGAATTTATAAAATTTTAATTAGAACGCAAAGAATTTGAATCAGAACTCATAGAATTTTAAATTCCGAAAATTTAAATTGCACAATCTTTCTGGGATTTTCTACTAAGAGCAAGTTTTTTTAAAGAAACAAAATTATATAATTATTTTGCAGAATTCTTTACAATAATGTCAGAACTCTTATCAAAACTCATAGAACTTAAAAAATTTTTTTTTTAATTTTGAAAAATTCCAAACCGCATTAATAAATCATATTCAAGCACTGCTTTTAAATTGAGAAGCAATAATTATAAAAAATTACAAATAATATATAATAAATTATAAATAGTATAATTAATTATAAATATTATAATAAATTATAAATATTATAAATAATTATAAAAAATCGAATATTTAAAAATTAAATACAAAAGCAAAGATAAATTAGAGAAGAATGTTTGTTTTTTGAAATTTTTTTTCCAAAATGATTAATACAGAAACATATGGTACATTTTTGTAATTATTTAATATGTGTTAAGAATTGCAGGAAAACGAATTCAACAGTGTTAAATAGTTCTTATGAATGCCATAAACTTTGTGATTTATTGCGTAGTAAATTCCGCTTCCATGCTTCTAAAGGAAGTATTTCATGCGCTCATCTGCTCGCCGAAAATGAATCATTTCATTTTTATTTTTATAGTTTAGTGGTCAAATACTTTGAAAACTAAGTTTTCTCAATTTAATCAAACTTTCAATAATTTCCAATACTTGCTCTCTGAACAACCTATATCAAATAATTAATAATATATATTCCTCTCAATTTCTTGCAATTTATAGCAATTAAGAAAGTTGCACGAAGAATTTAATAAAAAAATATTATAAATTAATAAATAAAAAAAGAACAAAATAATCAAAAATAAACAAACAAAAAATATAAAATAATAAATAAATAAAAAAGTAGACAAAATAAATAAAAAAGTAAATAAAAAAAATTAAAGAATAAAGAGAATAAATTAAAAAAGAAACAAAAGAAAACAAAAAAATAAATAAAAAAACTACTTTTTTGTTTTTCTCAACTGCTTCTACTTTTTTTCTTGAGTTTAATCAAGATAATGAAAGGTAAAGATAAATTATTTAACTCCTTCATTCGCAAAAATTTTTCCTTCGTGGCTTTTGAACCTTTTTTCATTAACTTCCATACTCGTTGAGAAAAGAGTGTATATAGTCAGTAATTTATAAGAATCCTTCTCTCACTAAGAAAAATTGATCAAATATCTTTCACAAAAATCATCTTACTATCATCCAAGTAAATGCGGGGAAAATATATGATTCTTTTTCACTTCTTTTGTATGGGACACGTTTTTTCTTGATTGCTTACAAAATAGGAAAAAGTGATGAAAAAGTTTTTCAAATGCCGACCACTCAGAATTCACCAAAAAAAAAAAAAAAAAACGAAAAAAAAAATTCTTTTCCCCCTTTTGAAGGATATATATTGACGTCTTTTGTTCACGTCAAAACTTTCATTCTGAATATACTCGACAGTCATTTTTTTCCCTCTATATAAAAAAGGCATAAAATTTATATTATAAAATAATAAAATAATAATTTCAATATCTACATTTTTATTGTATTTGACTTTTATGTTATTGGCACACAAAAAAAAAAATGATTTAGTCCATAAAGCAATTTTAGATCGAAATTTTATTTTTTCCTTCTCTCCCATTTGTGAAGGTAAATTTTTGATTTCCGGAATATACACCCAGAGAAAATAATTATATTTAAACCAAATATATTTGATTTAAGTTAAATAAACGTATATTTATCTCAGAACCAACTAGACTTTTTATTTCTTTTAAATAAAAATTTTATTCGACATAAATAAAACATATATTTCAATCAAATAAAATTTTATTTAAACTAAATAAAATTTATTTGAAACAAATAAAAAGTCTAGTTGGTTCTGACTGAGTCAAATGTACCTTTTCCCTGGGTGTATGTATATACCCGTAAAAACCACAAAGAACTCATTTTGTTATTTTTTTTTCTCCCCGACAATTTCAGCGAAAAAAAAACCATTGGTTTCGAATACAGAAAAAAACTGCTTTTCAAATTTTTCCTCTCATTCTTTTTCTAAAAATAGAAAAATTAAAGAAATATTTCTTTCGATAATTTGTTCCTGCGATTAAAAATCGTATTTATTTAATGCTAAGACAATATTTCCCTATTGGAAATTCAATCAGGAAAATTGAAATAAAATCCTAACCAATTTTCATGAAAAATGTTGGACAATTTTTTAAAAATGAGAGAAAAAGAAATTTCCGCAATTTTTACCTTATCGTGAGACGTTTTAGAACGAAAGTCATTAATATTCGTTGGGAGAGAAGAAATCTGGTCATTTAATTTTAGTTTCTTTGCGGAAAAAAAATGAAAATACAGATATTTTCCTTTACTTGATAAATATCAAATTCGATGTAAACTCCGAAAGAATTCAGTAATAATTTATTTTAAGGAATACCAAAGAAAAGAATATTTTATATAATTTAAACTCAAAAAACGAAGAAAAAGAGCAAATATTACCTGAAGAAATATTTTTGAACTAAATATAATTTATTTCAGTTGAGCATCAAAGGATGTAACTCTCGAAGTCTTTTAAGTTATTTATTCGAATCAAATGAAATTCATTTGAAATAAATAAATAAATAAAAATAAAAAAAATTTCGTTTAAATTTAATACAAATTTAAAACGACAAAAATAAAATTTTTCTAAAAATCAATTATATTTTATTTGAAAGAAATAAGTTAAATAAGTTAAAAAAATATATCACAAATAAATAACAATAAAATTCGTTTGTTTTAATATAAAAATTTTAATCGACACAAAAAAATTTATTTTTATCAAAAAAAAAAAATTATTTTAAGGGCATTTGAACCATGATGACGTCACAGCCTTAGAACACATGCTTTGCAGAACCTATGACGTCATAATGGTTCAAATGCCCTTAAACCAAAAAAAAAAAATTATTTTAACCAAAGAAAATTTATTTGAATCAAATAAAATACATTTAAAGCAAATAATATTTATTTGAATCAAATAAAATATATTTAAACCAAATAAAATGTATTTGAATCAAATGACACTTTACTTCGATCAAGTAAAATAAATTTCGAGCAAAAATAAAATTTATTTAAATTAAATAAAATACATTTGAACCAACTAAATTTTATTTTAAAGAAATAAGATAAAAAAATAAACCAGAAGTAAATAATAATAAATTTTGTTTGTTTTAAATAAAAATTTATATTCGACACAAACAAAATTTATATTTGAACCGAATAAAATTTATTTTGAATCAAGTAAAATATAATTGAACCAAATAAAATTTACTTGAATCAAATGCAATATATTTGAGCCAAATAAATTTTATTTAAATCAAATAAAATACAATTGAACCAAATAAAATATATTTGTATCAAATAAAATGTATTTGAATTAAATAATAGTTTTTTTTAATCAAATAAAATACATTTTTGTCAAAAAAAAATATATTTGAACCAAAGAAAATTTATTTAAATCAAATAAAAAATATTTATTTTTATTAAGTAAAGTACATTTGATTCAAATAAAATACATTTGAATCAAAGAAAACTTATTTGGAAAGAATAAAATATTTATTTGTCGAACCAGAGAAAATTTATTTGAAACGAATAAAAATTTCAGTAGGCTCTAAATCAAATATTTATCTTTTTCCTGATTTGTAATAAAAACAGCAAAAAAATAGAGAAAAAAGGTGAAAAAAATTATATTATTCACTGAATGAAAAATTTACGAAATTGAAAGAAAATGTTTGAAATAAATTCCAAATAGAAAATCGCAATAGAAATTTCATAATCTTTTATATTGCAAGTGATTTATTTTAGCCGAAGGAAAAGTTAAAAATCGAATTTTCGAAAGGAGTTGGAGAAATATTTGTCTAGTTTACCAAGAACATATATTAGACTTCTGTCCAGTTGAGATCACAGCAATGTCCATGTAGGATAGGCAATGCCATATCTTTTTTTTCTCTCTCTCTTTTTTTCTATTTTCTCATTTTTCTCCTAACAGAATTGAGGAAAGGAAAAATTACATGATGGATGAAAGCTTGGAAACCTACCTCCCCAGACAAATATATACCTTCAACTTTACTTGAAACATTACACGTTAAAAATATATAAAATCCAGATCCACAACATTTCTCTACAAAACTGTCAAACTACTATAATTGTCTTATCAATCAAGTTTTGGAAGAATTTTTTTTTCAAAAATCTATTTTCTTTGAGAGAAAAATACCACAAGTGGAGTTGACAAAAAAAGTTTGTATTTTTTCTTGTCTTGTCACAATTTTTTCGAGTCACAATTTTGACTTTTTTCCCTTTTTTTTAAAATGAAAAAACCAAAATATGTTTGATTCAAATAAATAGTTTTCTCAACGTAATTAATTCGAAAAAAATTACCAAATTTTTAATTGATAGCTCAATCAATTAAAAGAAAAATTACCCTAAAGAAGAAAAAGAATACCTTTTTTTTTAAATCAATAGCCATAATTTTTTAACAGTTTAAAATTTTGCAAACTATTTCGATAAAAATTCGCCATGAAAGTTAAAATCGAAAAAAGAAGAGTAGAAAGTTCATTAAAAGTTTGAAACTACAAAAAGTCCTCATCCTTACATTTATATATAAAAGCTCCTATAAAAGGAAGTTATTAACTTTTTTGATAAAGTTTGATACTAGTTTTTATGTGTGCAGGTATTTGGCGGTGGTGCATCCCATAGCTTCCATGTCTGTAAGGACCGAGACACACGCATTCATTGCAATTTGTATCCTGTGGGCTGTGATTCTTACAGTCTCTATTCCAGCACTTATCATTCATGGCGAGGTGAGTCACATCGCAACTTTGTATATAAATACGATTCCAACAAACATTTTTCTCTATGACTTGAATATATTTAAATATAAGCACACCAGCAAGAATTTTTAGAAAAATTTCATCTCAATTTTAAATCGCATTTTGAAATAATTAATTATTTTATCATTAATTTTTGTATTTAAATAATTTAATTCTTATTGTATTTTTTTATAAGAATTGATTTGAAAAAGAATTTCAGTTAAAATTCTAGAAAATATTTCAAGAATTGGAGGAATTGCAGTTCTAATTTTTATAGAAATAAGTAAATTTCAAAATGTTAAAAGTATTTAAAAATTCTAAATCCTGATGGACAAATAAATAACAATAGGTATACAAATATTTATGAAACAAAAATTAACGAAATTTGAAAAATTTTATTTAGAAATTCTGAAAAATGAGGTATTTAAAAAATGGTTTAATTAAAATTTTTTAAAAATATAGTTAAATTTAGGAAAATAATTTAAAAAAATTTTAAAAAGTCGGAAATTTTCGCAAATTTCATTAAAATAAATATAATATTCCAAAGAATTTTACTTTCTCACTTTAAAAAATCATTTTTAAATATTATTGAATTTTTTCAACAATTGAAACTAAAAATATGGAAAATAATTAAATTTTAAAGAGATTTTTGTATTTAAATAATTCAATTATCGTTGAATTCTAATAAGAATTGATCTTAAAAATAATTTCAGTTAAAATTTAGAAAAATAATTGAATATTAGAAGCGTATAACAAAAAATTTAAAAAATAATTAAATTTTAGAAGATTTTTAAATTAAAATCTTTTTAACATTTTCATTGCGTAATAGTATAAGTATATTTTTATGTTTATTTAAAAAAATTATTATAACACATTTTTTTCCTTTAAAGGTTCTTAAAGTTTTGAATAATTTTATTCCAAAATTCTAAAAAAATAATTGACTTTTGGAAACATTGCAGTTGTAATATTTAGAAATAATTAAATTTCAAAAGGTTTTACATTAAAATTATTTGAAATTTCAATGAAAATAAATAACAATAAGTCTTTAATAATATTTATTGAACAAAAATTATTGAAGTTTTGAATAATTTAATTTTCTAAAACAAAATAAATAAAAATAAAAGTAAAGAATATCATATTCACAAAAAAAGAAAAGAAAATCAAATTTTTTCCTCTGAATCATGATAGTATAATTTTGAAAGTGATAAAAATAATTTTTTGTCGTTCATGATTAACACTTATCAAAGTTAATTTTTCTTCGAAATTGATATTAATCGTCAAGTAAGTGGGTTAAAATGAATAAGTACTCTAGTCAAGTCGTGTTAAAAATTGCCATGTAATTTAAAGACTCGCAATATCTTTAGGTAAAAATCATGAAATTCGCAAATTATTTTTAGTGGTTTTGAATTTATGCCCTTATTCGCGAAATAACCTAAAAGTTTTATTATACTATTTTTAAGTATTTAGAGAATTATTAAATGCAATAAAAGTATTTCATCATTGATTTCTTCAAAAATTGGAATTCAATTGTTTCTTAAAGAATAAATGAATGAAAAAATATGTCTCGAGAAGCAATTTATTATTCCGTTTATCGATTATGCCCCATTGTAGAACAAAAGGAAAATGAATTATAGATATATACTATATTGAAAGTTGAATTTTATGAGAGAAAAAAGAATTATTCTCTTATTCCCGAATTGGAAAAATTTGCTTATGATTAAATAATAAGAGACAAGTTGGTCACTTGGAAAGAAAAAGATCTTTAATATCTTTGGATGGAAATTTTATTCACTGACTATTTTTGAACCGATAAACGAATAAATAGTAACTAATAAAAAACTTAATTATTATAATAATAAAGAAATTAATTAATCAATATTTTATAATAACTTAATTAATTAATTTTAATTATTTATTTATTGACATATTAATGAAAAAGGTTAAATATCGTTTTCTTTTTTTTTTCTAAATAAATATCTTAATTAGTATTTAAAGGTATATGTGCTAAAGGGAAGAATTTAGATAAATTGATAGAAATTATAGAAAAAATACAAAACCTTTGAGATTTGTAATTCGTAATTAGACTAATTGGTAATCAGGGATTTGATTAATTAAGATTGATTAATTATTAAGGGCTGATTTTACCAATCCTAATTAAAGTGAAATCGCAACTGTTAAATCCTTAACTGGCCAATTCAATCGTGAGCGGTTAAAGTGACCTTAATTACTAATTAACTTTTAATTGGAATTGGTGAAACTGATCCTAAATCAACTACTTAATTATGATTAATTATTTCTTTCAATTAATTAAACGAAACTAAAAAGAGAAAAATAATTTTTTCTTATTTTATAATTGATAGTTTTTATTATAAATATTTATCAATTATTTCATTAATTATTAATTTAGTGATATAATTAATTAAACGTAATTGACGTCGAATAAATTAAAAAAGGTACTTCATAGTTGATATATATTTATAAATTTTTGTATATTAATTTTTTTTTGTAAAAAAATAAATCTACTGTATTAATTAGTTATTAAATTAATCAAAACTGCAATGGAATGTATTTTTTAAATATTTTATGTATAAATAAATTCAGTGCACTGAAAAAAAATTTATTTAATTCTAACTAAACGATTACTTGTTTATTATCAAATAAATATTTAGGTAGATATTGAATCGAATAATTGTTATTTAAGTCAATTAAATTGAACTAATAATCGATTATTTGAATCAAATAAATTTTTTTCAATGTGAATAGTAGTCCATTAAAATAAAAACTTATTTATTTTTTTTTTGGTCAGAAAGATTTTTTTTTTTTTTTGATTCGGTAAGAAAGGTCATGTGTTGATAGATAATGCAAATTGATTATAATTTCCGTAAGAAACGAGAGACAGTTGAACAATGAAAGGAGGTTACGAAAAGACGTCTAAGCCAACATGAACTTGGCAGGCGCACGAAATATTGTATTACATACATAGTGAATATTCTATTCAGGTGTAAATGAATCTTTTTGCTCCATTGTACATTTCCATGTGTCAGTTACAGAAAGGACAGAAACTATAAGTCCCGTTTAATTTAATTTTCCATCTGAATCGCTATACCAAAGGTCGTACCGAAAAAAAATATATTCTTCTAAAATCTTCTGCAATTTTATGACTAAAATAACTTCATCTCTTACAATGAAAAGAAAAATTTATTTGATTCGCTTTAATAAAATAATTTTTTAAAGTGAGAAAATAAAATCCTTCAAATCAAAAAATTTATTTTAATGAAATTGGAGAAAATTTTTCAAAAATTCATTAATTTTTGTTTAATAAATATTTTAATACCTACTTATTGTTAATTATTTGTCCATCTGGAATTAAAATTTCAAAATATTTTTTTTATAATATAAACAGGGTTGCCACAAAAATATAATTTTGTTTTTCCCTGACTTTTCCCTGATTTCCAGACAAAATTTTGACATTTTCTCTGACCCTGAAGAATATTCAAACCTTCTGTAATTCAATAACGTTTTAAAAATTCACGCTATAATGCTTTTAATATTCAATTATAATTTTAAATTTTAAGTGAAATTCATTTCTTAATAAATTTTTTTTAGAAAATTTTTCGAGAATTCAATTATTTAAATAGAAAGCTAAATACTTTGTTAAATAATTGAATATTTCTTAAAATTGAATTTTTATGAAGAATTTTATCAAAATTTTTAAAAATAATTGAATTCTGGGATAAGTTTTGTTATTTATGAAAATAACTGAATTCTTGCAACGAATTTTATTAAAATTTTATTTAAAGAATTAAATTCTGGAGAAAAATAATATTTATGAAAATAAGTATAATTTCTTGTGAAGAATTTTATTCAAATTTTTGTAAATAATTGAACTTCTCAGAATTTTTCAAAACTTTTTGAAAATAATTAAATTTTATCGAGAAATTTCATTAAAAACTTAAAAATAATTGATATCTAACGAAGAATTTTATTAAATTTTTTTTAAATAATTGAATTTCTGTGAAAAATTTTATTTTTGAAAAGAATTGAATTCTTGGGAAGAAATTTATTAAAATTTCTTAAATAATTGAATTGCTTCGAAGAATTTTATTTTTTACAAAAATAATTGAATTGTTTCAAAGATTTTTACAAACATTTTTTACAATAATTGTACTCCTAGTTAGAGTGTTATATATTTGACGAAAATAATTGAAGTGGTGCGAAGAAATTTATAAAAAATTGGAAAGTAATTGATAAAACTTTTTTAAATTCAATTATTTCTTAAAATTTTAACTGCAATTCTTCCAATTCTTGAAATATTTTCTAAAATTCTAACTGAAATTCAATTTCAAATCAATTCTTATCAAACAGTTGTTCAAGAATTCAATTACTTAAATAATTCGATAAAATAATTGATTATTTCTAAACATTGCAACTGTGACTTATGGATTTTTTTTTAATTTGTAAAATGAGCATTCTTAATAGAAAAAAAATGTTTCAATCAAATTAATCTGACATAATAATAAAAAATGTTAATGAAAATAAAAAAAAATGATTTAATTACAAAATAAAATGTACAAAAATTTCAGTGTTGTGACGACATCCCCCCTTATGTATGCAGATCCATTTTATTTTACAGGAAATGGACATCTCGTCGTCGGAAAATCTGACGGCGTGTCGAATACTACCCCAATTTAACTGGCCATTATTCCAGGTGTCATTTTTCTTATCGAGCTACGTTGTGCCTCTAACCCTTATAATCGGTCTCTACATCTGTATGCTGTTGAGATTATGGCGAGGATCTCGAATCAGTGCAGAAAGTCGTCGGGGGAGAAAAAGAGTGACGAGACTGGTCGTCGTTGTTGTTGGAGTTTTCGCATTTTGCTGGCTTCCAATTCAGGTATAAAAATATAATATTAGAAAAAGAAAAAGTGAAAAACGAACTGAATAAATATTTTTTTATGTCGACCGGTTATAAAACGATGAATAAAAGACAAGAATGTATTAGAGAAAACCAGAAATATATTTTTAAAAAAAGGAAAAATAGAAAATATTTTTAAAATTAATATTTATATACACTGTAAAAAAAGGGAGTTAAATTTTAACTCCCCCGGGGGGTCTATAAAAGTCGCACCCATTGGGGAGTTAATGCCAGGGGAGTTAAATAAAGAGAGTTAAAATTTCACACCCAAATGCTAACTCCCCAAGGAAAAAATAACTCGCGCGGGTGTTGAATGAAGGGAGTTAGAAATTAACTCTCTTTTGGAATTGATTTTTAACTCGAAAAATTTCACTCCCAACTCCCGAGTCCGTTAACTCCCTAAATTTTTTACAGTGTATATCTTAATTTCGTCTCACTAAACTGACTTCTACTACTGATACTGATACAAAAATGCTATTTGTAGAATTATTTAAATTCTTGTTCCATATTCTAATTATACTTGTTTTTCTTCGCCATTTTGTTTTCTTTTTTGTTCGCTATTTTGTTTTTGTTATTTATTTTGTTTTTGTTCGCAAGTAATACAAAAACATCTCTCCGTCTGAGTTGAAATTCCTTTTACTACTCACACCATCAAACGCGGATTGTTTTGTCTAACTAAAAATGTCCATTACAATTTGAAATCCATCTGTTTGAGTAATAAAACTGACTCGTACTGCTGTTGCACAATTTCCGGAAATACCCACCAACTATATACAGAGAGAGAGCTGACTTTTATCACTAAAAAAAAATTCAAAACAATTTAAAAGTTTCTCTATTTTAAGAATTTTTCATCCGATACTCAATTAAAGTTTTGTTAAAAATTGTAAAGTCTGACACTCAATATACTTGTACTACTGAAAAAATATAAAAGCATTTTCTCTATACAAAACTTAATAATATGTTGACTGACTTAAACAGTCTTTTACTACTTGAAGTATGAAGAAAAAGTTTTTTCAGGACTAAAACGATTCTAAATGACTGATTACAATTATGCAATTGCTTACAAATGGTTTGTCTGATCAAAAACGAGTTTTACTACTTCTACAATATTAGGGAACAGGTGGTCTGACTAAAAACGTCTGGTACTACTCATAAAAGTTTAAAGTCTGTCCTTTACTAATTTTTATGCTTCGTTGACAAAATTACCAGAATTGATTCTACTGTCTGACTAAAGTTGACTCTTACTACTGATAACTAAAACACGCAGTCTTGGCTGACTAAAACTATTTTGTACCACTGATTACAATTAGGTAGGTAATTACAAATGCCTTGCTTAACTAAAAACAAGTTTTACTTCTTCTGGAATATTACAAAATAATTCGTCTGACTAAAATTGACTTTTACTACTGAGAACTGAAAAACACAGTTTTAAGTTAAAACTGTGTAAAAAAAAAAAAAAAACTTAAAACTTTTAACTAATTAAAACAATTGTACACCATTTTCAAGTAATTACAAATGTCTTGTCTGACTAAAAACGAGATTTACTACTTCTACAATATTAATAAACATATGGTCTGACTAAAACTGTCTATTACTACTTACAAGAGTGTAAAGTCTATCCTTTACTATCTTTTAATGTCTGTTTTACAAAATTACAGGAATTACTTCTCTACTGTCTGACTAAAGCTGACTTTTACTACTGATTACTAAAACACGAAGTTTTGTCTGACAAAAAATATTTTGTATCACTGATTACAATTGGGCAAATAATTGCATATGGCTTGTCTGATCAAAAACAAGTTCTACTACTTATTTAATATTAGGAAACGCTTAGTCTGACTAAAACTGGCTACTACTACTACTTACAACAGTGTTAAATCTGTTTTTTACTAGTTTATTCTGCCTATTTGACAAAATTACACGAATTAATTCTACTGTCTGACAAAAATTGACTTTTACTACTGATAACTAAAATACAAAGTGTTATTTTAACACTGAATTTGGTGTTATACGCAACAAAAATTAACCCAAGCTTCTTCTGTCGCATATAAAATAATTTTTAAAATTCTTTATATTTCTATTAATTATAATTATATAATTATTATAACTTTCTAAATTAGTCGTGCACTATAACAAATTAATAAAAATTTACACTAATTTTAATTAACTTCTTACTATTCTATTTAGTAGTTTTAAAATTTTTTACTTCAGTTTTAGTAGAAACATACTAAAAAATAGTAGAAATTATAACTTTTTTAAATTGGTGAACGACTTTTTTCTAATTCAGATTTAGAGATTATTATTATTATTATTATTATTATTATTTTTTCATTTTTCATAAGTAAAAATTAAAAAATTGCGCATTCTTTTTAATTATCAACACCGAAGAAAAAATATACTTGTTTTAAAAGGATTCAACAAGAATATTCTTTTTTCGGTGAATGAAACCGAAAAAATTGGCAATTTTCTGCCAATTAAAATAGAATTTTATAAAAATATATTAATAGCCTATATGGCTGACCAAACTAACTCTTACTACTGCAATATTCACAACACAAATTACAGAAAACCATTCGAATGCATGCCCATAATTAATTTTAATTACTATAATATTAATTTCACAAGAATTCTGACGCAGATTTGCCTTTTATTTAAGACTGACTGCTACTAAAATTTACCGCTGACATTAAAATTATGTTCTGTCTGACTTAAATTGACTTTTACTACTGCCATAAAATTCCCAGGCATTTGTTCTGACTAAAACTTTCAGTCACTACTGGAAAAGTTTGTTATAACTGACACTAGTTTTCCCTTTTGTTTAATAAATCCGCACACGAATTAACCCTACTGTCTGACTAAAATTGATTTTTACTACTTATAGATCGAGTTTTGAAATGTTTATTCAAAAAGTTTTGAAATTTTGACTTGATCCTTTTTTTTAATTTCTATAATTAAATTTCTGCGAAGAATGTTATTATTTTTTAATAAATTGAATTTTTGCAATAATTTGTAACTATTCAAAAATTCAAAAGAATTTGAATTATTCAAAAATCTAAGTTCTTTAAAATTTCTAATGAAATTACCTTTGATATTTTAAAACTAATGAGTAAGAAAAAATGAACCTCAATAAATATTAATAATAATAATTAATTAAATGAAACAAATTAATAAAAAAAAATTACATAATTAATAAAAATACTAACAATCAATTTATTTAAATTGACCTTTACTACTTAGATCGAGTTTTGAAATGTTTATTCAAAAAGTTTTTAGCTATCATTTTTCTTATTTCTACGTTTTTTCTAACTTTTGTTGGAGGCGTTGACAGACCACCTTACCTCGACTAATTAAGGTAGTCGACTTAACTAGGGGGAGGGAAGAGAGTAGAGATCAAGCGTAGAAAAAAATTTGTTTTGTGAGTAAAAAATATGATAAAAGGGGAGAAGGGTACAAAATAGCGTGACGTAGTTTTTGAATAATCCCTTTTTACCTTCTTTTCTATTTTTTTAGTCATTTGATGGTAAAAAACTTTTAACTCTTTTATATCGTATTCTAAAATATTTCACGCAAATTAAAAAATTTTTTTTTTACAACTATAAATAGAATACCTACACCTAACCACTATTATTATTATTATTGTGATAAATTATCACATGCACAAGTTTTCCTAATGTGTATAGTATATAGTTTGACAGAGGGTGAAAGTTAAGTGTTGGCTACAAATTAAACATCACGACGCGACGTAAATTAATGAAGCATTGACAAAGGGTTGGAACATTAAGGGACCAGAAAGTGCGAGGAGGAGAGAGTTTGACTTTTTTCAAGGGTTGGGTAATTTGTTTTAATATAACTGATAACATACCTTATTTGTTTAATACACGGTTAATATGTTCTCATAAAAAGAAAACGAGACTTTTATAATAACACTCTACATAAAATAAATATATATGTAGAAAAAATGAAGGATAAAAAATAAAAGGAGTAAATCACCTTTAAAAAGTTTACTTCATTTTCAAAAGAGACTTTTATTCCCTTATTCTTTTTATTTTATTTTTGTTCGTTAGTTTCCCTCTTCATACATTTTTTGTACGTCTATTTTTAATAGTATTATACTCTCAAGTGTCATCATTTTAATAAAATACATTCAATTTTTAATGAGTTGGAAAATTTTCATCTTTTGATAAAAATAGTGTTTTGCACATAATGTTTGTATAAAGAAACTTTTTAATTTATTTTTTTATCTTTTCATATTTTCTTCTTAAGAAGTTTACAAGTTAAATTCACTTTACATATTCTTTATTACAAAATTAATTTTTTTTTTAGTTAAACAAAATTCAATATTTTATTTAAACTTTAAACAATAATTTACTTTATTTCTAAATTAAATTATTTATTTAAATATGTGAGCGAGCTTACAAAAATGAAAATAAATTTATTATTTATAATAATAAAAAATTTATTTATAAACTTATTTATAAACTTTTTTTATTAATAATAATAAATTTATTTTTTAATATAATTAGTTTCTTTAAAATCTATTCTTTTACTTTTTGCACTAAATTTATATCTTCCTTTCTTATAAAACAGTAAATTATTCGTTAAAATCAAATAATAACAACAAAATTATTTAAAAAATTTTTTTTAAATGTACGAGAATTGAACAATCGAGAATCTCAGCTGTTTCGAAAAACTCATTTTATGTATTATACATATAACTCACACGAAGGATTTATTTTGGCTGTAAATTATTCAGCGTGTCGCATATATAGCTGCACTGAAAAATTCAACGCAATAGCACATCTGTTTTTCTTTTTTGTTTCTCGTTTTCAAGTGTAAAAACATTTATTTGTTAAAATATTCACTTAAAATTGACAACATTCTCTTTTTTCTTTAAAGTTTTTCACATAAATTAATATAAACAATAATGAAAATAGGCAAAGAATTTAATTTTCAACATTTAAAAAAAATCAAACTTACACTTCAATAAAAGTTACATTTTTTCATCAATAAAAAATTTCTGACTGAAAATTGTAATTTTTATTCAAAGAAGTAGATTGTTTAAAATGTTGAAAATTAAATTCCACTAAAACAAATTTAAAATCATAATTTGTCTCGCAGAATTTAAATTAAACTTAAAAATAACTAATGTTTAGTAAAATTTTGACTATTTTACCTACACATTAGTTATTTTTAAACTAATTCAAATTTTTGAAAGAAAAAATTCCAAGTGATTAATTTAATAAATTAAAAAGAATTTAATAAACACATGATTGTAAAATCAATAATCAATAATTGATAAAATCGGCTAATAATTACTTGTGGATATCTTTGAGCCATCAATAATGGTATATTGAATCAAGTTTGGGTTTTGGAAAGTTTCGATGGAAATCCTTGGGGGAGTTTATCGCAACATGACATGAATCTCGAACGTGGGATTTCACTATTTCTCGATTAGTAACATAGCATATTTGAACCATAGAGAGATGGGATTAGCATTGAAGCATAGTTTGCAAGTTGTAAACGTACTTCACTTAACTACATGGCAATAATGAACATATAAGCACGTTTCATATCTTCCAGTTTATGCTTACACAACAGCAAAATCAAATGCTCTAAACTCCATTTGCATATAAGACAAATTACACCTGCCAGTGAAGCATTCAACATCTATCAAAACATCCCTATTGCAACGGACATTTCTGACACATTGTCTGACAAGAATAAATTCAAGCGTAACCAACAATGCAAACAGGCAAATAATTAATTTCGATATTTGCCGTTATAAACTCAAATTATTTGCACGTGCGTTTTCGATAATATTTTTTTAATTCAAGTATTATTTTTCTCGCTTAAAAAATTGGATGTGGAAAATTTCTATTTCTACAAAACAGGGTTGTCACATAAATTTTAATTTGTTTTTCCCTATGACTTTTCCCTGATTTCGAGACAAAATTTTCACTTTTCCCTGACTGTAAAGAATATTCTGATTCACTCTAAAAATTATTAGATACTCAAAAAAAATGTTCTATTACATTTTTTACAAATTTCTTCAATTGTAAAATTATTCGAAAAATTAAAATTACTTCATTTTTAAATAAATATTTCATTATTATTTTTCCGTAGGAATTAAAATTTTTGAAAGCATTAAAATTCAAACCTTTTTGAAATTCAACATCTTATAATAATTAAAGATGACCGAGTGATAAAATCATTATTTTATTTTATAACAATATTGTTACTGTACCTTCTTCAAAATTATTTTTATCATTTAAATTCAATTATAATTTTCTATAATTTGTAACTGAAATTTTTTATTAAATCAATTATTTTAAACAATTTTTGAAAAAGTTCTTTGAGAATTTTCAAATACATTTCTTTACAATTCAATTTTACGTGAAATTTTGATTATTCGGAAATTCTTCAATTACATATTATATTAGAAAAAAAACTTCAAATAATTTTTTTAAAACATTCAATTAAACAAATTTTTCAAAAAAAATTAATTCTACAGAATTATTAGTTAAAAGTATGAAAAATTCAAATTTTCAAAGATTTTAATTTGAAACCATTGAATAATTGAATTCTTTCAAGGCATTTCAATAAAATTTTTAAGGAAAATTACATTTTTGGAGGAATTTGATTAAAACTGTATAAAAAATAATTGAAAATCTGCGATGAGTCTCATTATTTAATAATTGAATTCATAAAAAAAGATTTTATTATTTATGAAAATAATTAAATCCCTGTAAACAAATTTTATTATTTATGAAAATAATTGAATTATTGCAAAGAAATTTATAAAAAAAAATTGTAAATAATTGAATTCCTATGAAATTTTTATTATTTATGGAAATAAATAAATGGTTGTGTATAATTTTATTAAAATTTTTTTTCAACAATTGAATTCTTTTGGAAAACTTTATTAAAATAGTAGACACTAAAAATCATAGAACTGAGGGAAATTTTTGAAAATATATTAAAATAATAATTGAAAATAATTGAATTTCTGAGAAGAATTTTATTATTTTTAAAAATAATTGAATTTCTGTAATAATTTGTAACTTTTCCAAAGTTCAAAAGAATTTTAATTATTAAAATTTTTCAAAAATCTAAGTTCTAAAATTTCTAATGAAATTACCTTTGATAATAATAATTAAAGGATATACTTTAAAAGACTTTCCTTTTATAATAAAAGGAAATCCTCTTAAATATAATTATATTAAAAGGAACATCCGCTAACGATAAAAGGATTCCTTTTAACTTTAATAATCTGTTTTTTGAGTGAATAATTAATTTCTCTCTTTTCCTCTTTTCCCTGATTTTAAAAGAAAAAATTTTGACTTTTTTCATAATCAAAAGGGAAAAAACTGTATTAAAAAGAATTTTTTATTTATCAAGATTTTCAAAGTAGAAAAATAAGTTTTTAAACTTTTACTGTAAACCTTACCTCCTAATGTTTTTGAACCAAAATTTTTCTGATATAAAAGAACTGTGATTTTTTTTATTATTTATGCAAATATAAATAATTGTTACCGTTTAATACTATTATTATTTTTCATTAAATTATTAAATATTAAATTTCATGTAAAAAACTTCGAAATTTAAATTACTTTGGAAACCTATAGTAATTTTGTTTTTTTGTAATTTGTTTTTTAAACTAAAAATATATTTAAATACATGCAACTGTGTCTGCGCTCGTAAATTTTAGAAATTTTTAATAAATTAATAATTAATTCTTAATTAAATTATTTTAATTTAAAATTTAATTAATTTTTATTCAAAAATAGTATATTCTTCTATTTTTTATTGAATTTGCTACTGATGTTAATTTAAAAATGAAGTAAAATTTAAATTTTACTTAAAGTAATTGTAGTTACTTAAATTATTTACTTAAAGTTTTCTTTAAATAAAAATTAAGTAGTTTAAGTTAATTAGGAAAAAAATTAGCTCCAGTAACAAATTTAAAATCAACAGAAAACAAATTCAATTAAAAATGCTAGATTCTACATTTTTTTCTTGAATTTATGATTAACTAATTTTGTAAAATTACTGAAGAAAATTTCCCTGCGCGTACACTTTGCATTTGGTAAACATTTTAAAACCTTTGATTGCACTGAAAATTTTAATTTCAATTTTCTTTCAATTTCCTCTAGAGAATATATTCAAAAAATCATTTCTTTTACATATACAAACAGTAGCGAAATTTTTCCCTTTTTGAAATTTAAAACTTAAAAACTCTATTTTCAGTCTTTTGCGAAATAATTCTGAAATTTAATGAACCATAAGTTTTTGAAGCTTCAAGTGAAGGAGAATTTTTGCCAAAATGAATATTTAAAAAAAATTTCCAACTCTAAAAAAAAGTAAAAACAAAATTATATAATTGGAAATCATATAATATTGTATTATTGTAAAAATATTGTAAAAATGGAAACTAAAGAGAAAATAAGTAAATTTCATTCCTTTCAAAGTTCGGAACTTTAGGAACAAGAAATTTTAAAACCAGGAAAAATTACATTGACGTAAATGTAACTGAATGAAGAAAAAAATTAAAGAAAAAATTAATTTACCTTTTTTTATTAATTTTCTAATTTTTTTTTTACTTGTTTTTTAAATTATTTTCTTAATTAAAAATTCTAACTTCATGAAATTTTGTTCTAATTTCAGTTGATTCTGGTGATCAAGTCAGTTGACAAATATCCTTTGACAACGCCAACGATCATGCTGCAAATAGCAAGTCACGTACTCGCCTATACCAACAGCTGTGTCAATCCATTTCTGTATGCGTTTCTTAGTGAAAATTTTCGCAAGGCCTTCAGAAAAATCATCTACTGCAAATCACGACTGGATCCACATCATCGACTAGGACCACCAACAAGAACAACAAGGGCCGCTAGTACAGGTGACATTTTATAGGGTGAGTCTTTACAGCTTCCGGGATCCGACTCGTGAAAATTCATTTCGAAAAAAATTTCTCCCAACAAGAATATTAATTAATAATTAATTAATTCAATCAATCATTACTTGCTGCATTAATAATTCATGTAATTACTAATCAATGTTATTAGTATTCAAGGTAATTACTAATCAAAGTCATTAGTATTCAAGATAATTACTAATCAACATAATTAGTAATTAAGCTAATTAACTAATTAATATAATTAGTACTTAGAGTAATTACTAATAAATATAATTAGTACTAACCTGATAGAATTTTTAATCAATAAAATTAGTATTTATTGTAATTACGAATAAAGATAATGAGTACTCGACGCGATTACTAATCAATACTAATTAATACTTGAAGTAATTACTAATCGATAAAATTAGTACTTGAAGTAATTACTAATCTATATAATTAGTAGTTAATGTAATTATTATTCAGAATAAGTAATAATTAATGTAATTAATAATTAATTAATAATTCTTCCAAATAGATGAGAATTTAGAGACTTAAAATTCGTTTATTCTTTGAAAGAAAAAATATTTTTCAGTATCTTTGCTCCGAGAGACAAAAGAAAAATTACTAATCGTAATGTCGTACGAAATATTTAGCGCAAGAAGCTCAACAAGAATTTACACTATAATTCCGCTAATATTTCATTACGATAGATATTAAAATTGAAATTTTTCTTTTCCATCCACAGTAATATACTGAAAATTCGACAAAATCGGTAATGCCCGGAAGCCAAAGATGATAAAAATTGTTGAAACAAAAACTTTATTTTATATACTATTTTAAAATTCCTATTTTTATATTTACATATTATTCTTCTGTCTTCTTCTTCTTTTTTTTTTTTTGCAGAAAAGATAAATTTTTTGCAATTTATTTAACTATAATTTGCATTTATATATGTTGGAAAGAAGATATTTTTTTGGGAAATAAAAGAGAGAATCATTTCTTATCTTACGAAAATGTTATTATATAAATAAGAAACTATTATCATGGAAATGTGCTATATGTTGGAGAAAGTAAAACAACAGCAAATCAATTTTACATATCTAATCGACCTAAAGTCCTGGGTGCGTTTTATCTTTGTCCCTCATTTTCTTTGTCTCCCACACATATACACACAAGAAAAAAAAGAAATTTTTTTTTTTAAATTTCTCAGAAAGAAAATAGTATTTTTCTCATCTCAGATTTCTGATCAGTTGTTTTTGAATACATTGGAAAATATTTGAAGAGAACTTTCTCTGTATTTATCAATTTCAACAGAAGAATATGATTTTACTTTATTTCTTACAATTTCGCAGAAAATATCAATATTTTTCTATAGATATAGATTCAGTTTTAGATTAACATAATATTGTATTCCTTCTCTGAAATTACATCTTAAACCCTTACATTTATTTCCCTGTCTGAAATTTCTGATTTGCAATATAAATTTACCTCTATTTTTTTGTCTTTTAATCAATTTAAATGTAAATTTTAGTAAATATAAATTTTTCCTCCAATTATAATTTTTTAACATCAAGAAAATATTCTAATTTAACAAAAAGTAATTTACCCTCTTTTTTAACGGTTCAGAAAATTCAATCAAGAAAAAAAAGGGAAAAGTTAATAAAAGAGTAATATACTGAAAAAAAATATTATTATATTTATATAGGTTTATGCGATAGCGTGATTAAAGTGAAATCAGATGTTTGGTGTGAGTTGAGCATACTGGAAATATTTCAATGTTTTTAAATCACAACATCATGAATATTTATATTTAAACACCCAACAATAATGTTGCACGTGAAACGTAAATTTCCTGCCCCTTAACGATAATCCACTGTCTAAGTAAATATTGCTTGAACGTTATATTTTCCCCTCCAAAGAAAATAAAATAAAAACACCTTTTTTGTTGATACAAAAATGAAAGAAAAATAATTATTATTCAAATTATTTAAATAAAAAAAATAATTAATAAATTTAAATACATATTTCAAAAAAATAAATTTTGTTTATTTTTTTTAATTTAAATATTTTAGTAAAATAAATTTTATTTATTTTTAAAAATTTTAATATTTAACAAATTTGCTGAGCCAAATAAATTTTTTCTCTCTGTTTGTAGTTAATATTAACTAATTTTACTTCCTATGATTTTTATTTATTATGAATGGATTTTTTTAGTGTATAATTAATAGGTATAACAATGTATTTATTATTATTATTATTTATCATTTACTTATTATTTATTTTACTATTATTTATTATTTATTTTTTATTTTTCAATGATTTTAATTTGAATCCTTTTGAAAATTCGATTATTTCTAAAAATTCAAGCTATAATGCTTTTAATATTCAATTACAATTTAAAATTTTAAGTAAAATTCATTTTTTAATCAATTTTTATTGGAAAAATGTTCGAGAATTCAATTGTTTAGATACAAAAATAAATAATTGATTAAATAATTAAATATTTCTTAAAATTAAATTTTTATGAAGAATTTTATCAAAATTTTTAAAATAATTGGATTCTCATAAAAAAATGTATTATTTGTAAAAATAATTGAACTCTTAAGAAGAATTGTATTAAAAAAAATTGAATTCTTTCGGAAAATTTTATTAAAATAGTAGATATTAAAAATAATTGAAATGAGGAAAATTTTTGAAAATAAATGAAATTTTGACAAGAATTTTATTAAATTTTTTGAAAATAATTGAATTTTAGATAAGAATTTTATTATTTATAAAAATAATTAAAATTTTGGAGAAGAAGTTTATTATTTATAAAAATAATTGAATTTCGGAGCAGAATTGAAAAAAAAAATTTTTGTTATTTTGCCAAGAATTTTATTAAAATTCTTGAAAACAATTGACTTTCGGAGGCGAATTTTATTATTTATAAAAATAATTAATATTAACAAATTTTTATTAATATTAACAAATTGTTACTAAAATTAATATTTTATTCAACTAAAAAATTTTGATGATACAATAAGAAAATAAAAATTGTCCCCTAATTTTAAAAATTATAAAATTAAAGTTTTATCACGAAGACTTCTTTAACTATACTGGGACATTAAAACAGAATAAATAAAAGTATTTAGAGACGATACATTTATGTTGGCTTTAGGTGCAATTTATCAAGCACAAGTAACTTATAAGCAATTAAAATTATCCCGTTTTCGTGTCTTGTACTCTTGGTCGTTTGAAATCCACTTTCTCGACTGAACGTCTTTAGAAAGTCCTTCATGATCTTAATTAGAAATAGTGCGGAGTTTGAGTCGAGAAAATCGTTGCAACTTTGTGTTTAATGGGAAATAAATTCCCCAGAAACCATCGTTTCTAATCTTAAAAAGTGTGCTTTAAAAAAGAAAAAAAAATTTCTCCAATAAAACTCAGCAATTTTTCCGCTCACAAAATATTTGTACCAAAATATTTGTATCAAAATATTTGTATCAAAATATTTGTACCAAAATATTTGAAAGAAAATATTTAATTTGCTGCAAAAAAAAATTAGAAATTTACTACCTAATTTCTAATTTTTTTGACACAAGATAAAAAAGAATAAAAAAATATTTTTCTTGTAGCAAAAAAAAAAAATAAATTTACTACTAATTAAAAATTTTTTTTTTTTGCCGCAAGATAAAAAAGAATAAAAATATATTTTTCTTGTGGCAAAAAAATTAGAAATTTACTTACTAATTTCTAATTTTTTGCCGCGCAAGATAAAAAATTGGTAAAAGTTAAATTTTTTTGCAATTTTCACGGATAAATTTTAAAATACAATTGGAGTTTTTTACAATGACATTTGTGTACAAAGATGACAGGAAACTCCTAAATTGCCCGAAGGACAGAAAATGAAATTCCACTTCCAGATGACCCTTCCAGTAATTTTTTACTGACATATCCCCTCAATAAAAAAAATACGCGAATCACTATTTAAAGGAATCTATTTTTGCGAAGAAATAAGAGGGAAAGAAAAAAGGTAGGAGAAGAAAAAGAAAAATGCTATTTGTGTCGCAAAAGAAAATTAGCTTCCATACATAAAGGTCAATTTATCTTTTCTTCTTCACTTCCGCTGATTTCTATCCTTCAATTTATATATCTATTTTCTCCTATTCGGTTTTTTTATTACGACTTCCTTATTCCGCTATGAAAAAAAAAATATTGCTTATGACACACTTTTTACCCCATATATATTCTGTATCTATAAACTTTTTAATATACAATATAGAAAACGAAACGAAATAAACAATAGAAAAAAGCTTCGAATGGACTGTTTATCAAGTTATAATTTTCCTGTTAAAAAATTTACAAATTTGTCAATTTTATAAATATATATATATCAAATCAATTCTACTGCCACGTTTCCTGTTTCCTGGTTGATTTATTTTCGCCTTTTCCAAACGTGCCTAACATAACAAACACGAAATATTATTTTCCAACTCCATATTTTTATCAAAAAAAGAAAAAAACAAGAAACTTTTTTCATAATGCATAGTATGGCATGACATTTTTTTTCTAAAAAATTTTTAAAAACCTTTTATTAAAATTCCTGAAAGAGTATTTCTACTCTAACGTACAGGGATTATTTTCATAAAGAGAAAATTAATTTTTAGTTGACGTGAAATAATAACTTTGTCGTCTCATAATTTTCTTTTTTTAAATTACAAGAATATTACAACGAATAAAAAACAAACAATTTTTTTTAATCTGATATTCTCTCCCATCAAGAGTATTATATTCGAAAAAAATAACTAAACAATCCCAATTATTCGACATGTATGTATAGACTTTAATAAAAAGTTCTTAAAACTCTTTAATAAAAAATTTAAAAAAAAATAAAAAAACACAATATTCCTAAATTATCAGAAAGCAATATTGACGAACATTATCAAAGGACGTGATGTGACTTGACGATGAGAGGAGGAGAGAGCTTTTACAGAAAAAAAAGAAGAAATGCCTCAAAGTACACCATATGTGGG